GGAGGTACGAAATGGGTTAATGGCTATATGTATATTATAAGTCAGAAGAAAGACAATATATAAAGAGCGAAGCTGTAGCAGCCCCAAAAAAACCAAAAAAACCAGAATGATTCAATATTAAAGATTCTGTCTTCTGAATCAAAACATAAATGTGTTTTCCTAAAAACTATTTGATATTGAACAGTGTTAACAGTTGGTGATCGTCTGATAAAAAACATGTAACTGATGTCTTCTGGATAGAACCGAGTTTTGCTTGAACCCATAAGAAGAATTTTATTGTTCTGAGGTAGTCTTCAAGGCAAAATTGAAGGAAATACATTTTTAATTCAAACGACATCAAGCAAGATACTGTTTGCAGTAAACAACTATACTATCAACTCCTTGCATATTATTTATAATTATCAGTGTGCTCAGAGAGAGTGTTTTGTTGTAGCCAGCAAATGTTTTTCTGTAATATCATAGTCAAATATTTTAAATTTTCCTTTGAAGCGAAATGCTATATGTATGCGATACATTCCATTCTAAATCCTTATGCAAGGAACTATTTGGAACAGTTTTATGGATGCGATACATACCATTCCAAATCATTATACAAAGAATTACTTGAAACAGTTTTAACTGTTAAGATTTACATTAAAGATCTCTATGCAGTGGCGGAGTTAGACCAACTCTGGACGTCGGTGACATTAGAATTGCGAGGCCCCCTGTTAACCCAGTTGTAAAAGTAAATAAGTTACATTCACTAATACGACAAAGCATGATTGAAAGTTTTATTGCTAATCAAATTAAAATAAACACAAATGAAAATAAATGAATTTTTCTACTTTTAGCCTCCCTCAATTTTTTTTAAAATTATATCATAATTTGCGCCAACTGCTATTTTTTTGTTCAGTTTATAGAATTTCCAATGGAGATAGTCTCTCTTGGATCATCATACTTTTCTAGTACGTCTTAATCAATTTAACTGTGCTTCTTTCTTTTCGTTCGAAACTACATATTATTAAACATTCCTGGGAATACTTCGAATATGGTTAGTGGGGGGGGGACATTAATCAAACCAAAATTGTTCAAAATATTTATTAAGTTGCTTAGAATCCAAAAGTCGGTAACTTATGCGAGGCCCCTGCGGGCGCGAGTCCGTCCGCGGCGGTTCGCCGACATCGCTGACGCCTAGCGGCGCCACTGTCTCTATGCAAAAAATTAGTTGATTCAGCTGTAATAGTACTGATCCTTATTTGCAAACCACAATATACTGGTTTCCTTAAATAAAAAATGATGAAAAAATACTTTAACAGTCGTCGTTAAATTGAAGTCTTACGTATCTTTATCAATCACTTTTTAAAAATAAGTGTTCTATCTATATATTGTATTCAGATACATGTCTAAATATTCGTCTTGAAAACAAGAGACTTTACAATGCTCCTTCTAGTGCCGGAATGAAACCGAAACACATTAATTAATTTATTTTTGTAACTTATTTTTGTATCTATATTAATAAGCTTATTCTAATATGTTAAACCGACTACTAGAAGAATAAGTATTGATTTCCAAGCTCCCACAACAAAGGTCAAACATATGTTGAATCTCAAGCTCGCACTACAATATGGGATATATATGCAGCTCCCCGAGATCGTGAAATGCTAAGTATGCATTACCCTATATAAAGACATAATACACTTTTTCTGCTACTGCCTAGCTTTGGATAACAGATGGGAAATACATTTAGTGAAATACGTTTTTGATAGCGTATTAGAAAAGAAATTTTTAACTACATAAGCTCAAAATATATTTAGTTTATCCACCGAAGTTCACGCAAGGAATTGTAGCATTAAAAGGATAAGTAATGCGTAATCACGTAAAGCTCTGCTGAATTGTGACTATTATTTAGAATTTCTTTCGTTAATTTATATAGATCAGTATGTCGCTAATATGTGGAAGAAAGTGAAGAACAGAACATAGCTTAGAGGAATTTGTATACAAATATTAAGCTCTTATTTTCTGTCTCTCCTAATTCTGGAATGGTTTTGCATCTGCGGGTGCAATCTTCCACTTCCATTCCAAAGAGGTGGTTTAGTGGGTTCATGTCTCACACGGTGGCTTTCGATGCTTCGTTTGATAAGTTAAAGGGGTTAAAGGGGTGTTGTATTAAAGGGGTCCATAGTTTCTTAGATTGAACGTTGAAAGTTTTGAATAACTTTTGAAGCTTTTGAACTGTTCAAATGAAAGGGTTTATTAACGTTACTCGTGGTACAAAACCTAATAATTACTAAGATGCCTCGATTAAAGTTGTATTACAAAATAATTTTAATTATTTACTTGTGCTGATATTATTTTTATATCTTCAATGTGCAGATTATGTTTTCATACTATCAATAACTCATAAGAGTTTACTATTAATAACGAATAGCAATTAATAAAGTTCAATTTAATCAACAATTCAACGGATATATTTTCTTAAGTATTTGCTAAGTGATATCGATGTACAAAAATTTTGTTGTCCTGAGTTGAGTCAAAAATATGAGAAAGAATTAATTCTTATGTTTTAAATATGTTAAAATTTTTTTATTGTAACTCAAAATAGCATGGTAGTAGGACGATATCCGTACTGGGCACACTCCGCAAAAGAAGTGTCCCTATTTGTCACTCTATTAAGTTAACCATATAGGGCACAATTATGACAAACGGAATAAAGTTACAGTACTTTGGGTAATCATATAGTGACAATAGAGTGACAGTACTTCGCACAACTATTAAGGACGAAATAAAGTCGCTGCATTTGGCGAAGTAGGACGTATAGATGACCATTTTGGTAGCAACATTGAACAATGAAATGTTTTAATTTCACACTGTTTAGAGTAAGGTACGTAACCAACCGCACTGGGTGTAACTATTAGGAATGACTGTCTGTGTCAAAGTGCCCGTCTTGTTGGTACACTTCCTTGCTTGTATTCTTTTGACTACGCTCAGTTTCTTCTAGTTCAGTAAAAAATCACTGGTTATTGTTAATATCGTTATTCGGGTCCCTTTAGCAAATATATTCCATTACTTGTTTTGTGCATAGTTCCAATTAGCTATTGGAATTATTGTACCTACTAGTAGTTACCGAAACAAATTTAGCTGTACTAAAGGTATAGAAACTATCGAAACGAATAGTGATTTTTAAAATATAAAAACCTTTAAACAAATGAAATAAAGGTTTGTAGGGTTTTATAAAACAAAATATAGGTCAACAATCACAGTTAATTTTGACTAATTTATTTCTCTTGCTTTCTCTTTTTGTCAGACGTGAGATTAGGTTAGAGGTTAGAGTCAAGTATATCCAATACAACACACATTTGCATCCTCGTATTTAATCCACAAGTTCTTAGAATCACTTTTTGTGAAAGAAAATCGTACCATGATTTTGTAAATTTGCGGAGCTGACTTTGACTTTGACGAAGTACGCTTCACCCAGTTTACTTCCTTACGTATCCACCGAATGCATAAATAAAGT